AAAAAAAAAAAAAAGGTCCCAACTTGTTTAGAATTCCTGTTCATCTAAAGTGCTGTCTTGATCTCTCATACTATCCTACCGTATAGCATCCTTGACTGTGCCAGGGGGCTGGCTACAAAGGTACTCTCCTTGCGACACCCTCACGCTTTGTACTGACAGTGGCCGTGCGCCCTGAGGCATGTTCACCTAGAGCCTGTTGGGATGGAACCCTGGCTGGAAGCCGAGTTCTGTGCTGACTTTCTTCCTTGTGTCTGTAGACTACACCATTCTGGATTGCATTTACAGTGAGGTGAACCAGACATACTATGTTTTGGATGTGATGTGCTGGCGAGGACATCCTTTTTACGACTGTCAGGTAAGGATTGATAATGTCCTCGTGTCTTTCCTGTCTTCTTTCCTCCCGGGAAGGTGGTTGAGCTGTGGGTTTGGTACGTGACCAACTTCTTGGTATGGACAGGATGTGGTGATCAAGAACGTTATCGATGCTGTCTGCATCTGTGAGGGTGTCTGAATTAGCGTCACCTTAAAAATAAAATAAATATGAGGAACTGAGGGAAATAGAAGAGTTCTTTTCTTTCTTTCTTTCTTTCTTTCTTTCTTTCTTTCTTTCTTTTTTGACACAGGGTTTCTCTGTATAGTCCTGGCTGTCCTCGAACTGGATTTGTAGACCAGACTGACCTTGACCTCAAAGATCTGCCTGCCTCTACCACCTAGATGCTGGGATTGAAGGCTTGTGCCACCACTGCCCAGCTAACATGATAGTTCTTAAGGAAAAAGAAACAGCAGAGGTGCCGGCAGGGTGTTAGCTGCTGTGGCTGGTCCCTCCTTCTCCAGAGAACGGGAGAATTGTTGCAGGGATGATTGAAGGGTAAGAAGTATGCCATCTTATGCAGACAGCCCCATTAAATAAACTCGTGTCCTCTCCTTCACCCACCACATCCTGGCCCTGAAAATGCCAGGTCATTCTTGGTGTGAAACAAAGTCTCCAATCTCAAAGCTTGCTCTAAACCAGGTGGTGGTGGCGCACGCCTTTAATCCCAGCACTTGGGAGGCGGAGGCAAGCGGATTTCTGAGTTCGAGAGTTCGAGGCTAGCCTGGTCTACAGAGTCAGTTCCAGGACAGCCAGGGCTACACAGAGAAACCCTGTCTCAAAAAACAAAAACAAAAACAAAACAAAACAAAAAAAAAGCTTGCTCTAGAAGAGATAACAGGCATGGGCCACTATTCCTATCTCAGATCGACTCCTCTCCTCTCTCCTCCCCTCTCCCCTTCCCTTCCCTCCCTTTCCCCTTTCCTTTCTTTTCCTTTCCTTTCCTGTCCTGTTCTGTCCTGTCCTTCCCTTCCTTTCCCCTTTCCTTTCCTTTCCTTTTTTTGAGACAAGGTCTCACTCTGTAGTCTAGGCTGGCCTGAAACTCAGAGATACACCTGCCTGCCTCCTTAGTGCTGGAATCAAAAGTGTGCACCACCACACCTGGATAGACTGCTAGATTGCTTTTTTTTCTATAGCTATTACCCTATGGTAGATTTCAGGAAATGCCAGCTAGTGGTGCTTCTGTCTGTCTGTCTGTCGCTTTTGAGACAAGGAGTCACTCTGTATTCCAGGGTAGCTTCGAACCTACGATCTTCCTTATATCTTGGTCTCCCCAGAGGCTGTGATTGCAGATTTTTGTTATTATTCCTAGTATGTTTCCTTTAGTTTTGTTAAAGGATATTCAGTACATATATCCACAACTTACAGATTTGGTAATTAAAATTGCAGGTACAGATATATTCTAAGGAAAAGACCAGTTCAGCAGTAGCTTATGCCCATGGAAGCCCCTTTGTTACAGGCTGATGCTAGAGGAATATCCTGAATCTCAATCCCAGCCTGAGCTACATGGCAAGACCTTCCCTGTCTCGGCAAAGCAGAGCAAGGGGCTGGGGATGCAGCCTACTACACACAAAGCTTGGGGCTCGCTGGGCAGTGGTGGCACACGCCTTTAATCCCAGTACTTGGGAGGCAGAGGCAGGTGGATTTTTGAGTTCGAGGCCAGCCTGGTCTACAGAGTCAGTTCCAGGACAGCCAGGGCTACACAGAGAAACCCTGTCTCAAAAAACAAAAAACAAAAAAAGCCTGGGGCTCAGTCCAAGGCACCTCATAAACTGATCTACTCCTGTGGGCTCTACAGAGGATCAGAAGTTCAAGGTCAGCCTCTGATATATAGCAAGTCTGAGGCCAGCCTGAGCTGTATGAAACCTTCTCTCAACAAAAAAGAGAAGGAAAAGAAAACTACTTTTATTGTTTCAATTTTCCAGAAGCAAAGTAAAAGAAAAAGGAGCATCTCATAGCTGTAGAAGGGTACACATCAATAATTTAGAGAATCAGTTCTCAGGAAAAGCCTCGGCTGTGTAGTGTGTTAATAGCCATATTAAAATGAGGCAAGGGGGTTGGTACAATGTGCTTTGGAATGGAGGCGTTCTAGGTCTCACGGTATTTACTTTGTTCACCCAGGCAAGTGACTTCACCCTTCTGATTCTAAACCCCCTCGGCATGTAAAGTAGCAACAATGATAACAGAGTTAATATAGGGTGGCTGAAGTTATTTATTTGTTTGTTCATCTATTTGTTTATTTATTGTTTATTTGTTTTGCAACAGGGTTTTCAGTGTAGCCCTGACTGTCCTAAAACTCCCTCTGTAGACCAGGCTGGCCTAAAACTGATGGATATTTATCTGCCTCTGCCTCCTGAGTGCTGGGACTAAAGTCCTGAGACACCACCATTCACCTGTTTGTTTGTTTGACAGCACATGCCTTTAATCCCAGCAACATGGGAGACAGAGACATGCAGACCACTGAGTTCAAGACCAGCCTGGTCTATCGAACAAGTTCCAGAACAGCCAGGGCTACATACAGAAGAACCATGTCTTGAAAACCAAACAAGGGCTGGAGAGATGGTTCAGTGGTTGAGAACACTGACTGTTCTTCTAGAGGTCCTGAGTTCAATTTCCAGCAACCACATGGTGGCTCACAACCATCTGTAATGGGATCTGATGCCCTCTTCTGGTGTGTCTGATGACAGCTACAGTGTTCTCATAAATAAATAATAAACCTTTTTAAAACAAAGGGAAAAAAAACAAACAAAAAGACAGAATCTCATTCATAACTCAGGCTGTCCTGGAACTATGTAGCCCAGGCTGGCCTAATCTTGTGAACAGTTCTACTCAAGCTTTCCAAAAGTAGAGATTTCAGGCATGAAATAAATTAAGCCCAGCCTGAAGATTTATATCTAAGTGAAGATTGTATTGTTATTATTATTTGTTTTGGTTTTGCTTTTTTGAGACAGGGTTTCTCTGTGTAGTCCTGGCTGATCTGGAACTTGTTCTATAGATCAGGCTGGCCTTGAACTAACAGATCTGTCTGCCTCTGCCCCACCCTGTTGTCATTATTGTTTGAAGCGGGTCTACCCTATAAGAGGTTGAAGATGAATGAATTAGATACAGGTGTTGGCTCCGCCTGTCAGTACATGCCTTTGATTCCAGGATCCAGGGTAGGCAAGCAGATCTTTATGAGTTCAAGGCCAGCTAGGACAGCTCAGTGAGTCCCTGTCTGTAAAAAATAAATATAGCTGAATGTGGTGGCGCATACCTTTTATTCCTAGCACCTGGGAAGCACAGGCATTTGGATCTAAGTTCGAGGCCAGCCCGATCTACAGAGCAAATTCCAGGATAATGAAACCCCCTCCTCCCCAACTCTATTCCTCCCTCAGAAAACCCTAACTAAATAAATATAAGATCTTGCTATATAGTGCAGGATAACCTCCAACTTGTGGTCTTTCTGCCCCAGACTACCAATTGCTGGGGTTACAAGTGTGAGCCCCCATACTTAGCCATTCTAAGTGTTTATTTTTGAAGGAGAGTAGCGTCAAGTCAGGCCTTATGTGGTGTAGGCTAATTTCACTATGTAGTCATGGATGACCTGACTTGCCTCTGCCTCCTAAATGCTTGGACTTTGGTTTGAGCCACTATGACTGGCAGCTTTGCTAAATTTTAAAAGAAAAAGATCTTTATGACATATACTTGTATGAACATGTTTTCATGTAATATAATACTGTGTATGATATAAACAATGAAAATGTATTTTAGAATTTTGTTTATCCTTATTGTGTGTGTGATATGTTTGAATCGAGGCCAGAGGATATCTTTAATGGGAGGGCTCGTTCTTGTCTTCTAAGTGTGGAATCTAAAAATCTAATTGAGGTTATCAGGTTTCCATGGCAAACATTTTTAGCCACTGATCCATCTTACCATCTGAAACACACACGCACACGCACATGCACACCTCTAAAATCTTGACAGACTTGATAAACTGTGGTTATAAGTGGAAGCGGCGAAAGCAGCCACAGGGCTTAGGTCTTTAGAAGTCAATGGTATTAGAGTGAGAATAAAAGTTTGAAATGAGCAACATTTTATCTTTTTATTCAACCTTTTTTGTGGCAGACTGATTTCCGATTCTACTGGATGCATTCAAAGTTACCAGAAGAAGAAGGACTGGGAGAGAAAACCAAGATTAACCCTGTAAGGCTGCTGGTATAATACAGAGTTCTTTTGTGTGGTGATTGATTGTTTTTAAGATGAGGTTTCATATGGCCCAAGCTGATTTGAACCTGGCTATGTAGTTATGACCCTGGATTACTGATCCTTCTGCCTCAGCTTCCCAAGTGCTGGGATTACAGGCACGAGCCACAGTTCCTTCCCTTCCCTTTCCTTCCCTTCCTTCCCCTTCCCTTCTCTTCCCTTTCCTATTTTCTTTCCTTCTTTCTTTCAAAGATTTTTCTTTCCTTCTTTCTTTCAAAGATTTATTTAATGTATATGAGTACACTGTAGCTGTCTTCAGACACACCAGAAGAGGGCATCAGATCCCATTACAGATGGTTGTGAGTTACCATGTGGTTGCTGGGAATTGAACTCAGGACCTCTGGAAGAGCAGGCAGTGCTCTTAACCGCTGAGCCATCTCTCCAGCCCGCATCTTTTCTTTTCTTTTCTTTTCTTTCTTTTCTTTTCTTTTCCTCTCCTCTCCTTTCTTTTCCTTACCTTTCCTTTTCTTTTCCTTTGCCTTTCTTCCTCTTTCTTCCTTTCTTCCTTCCTTCCTTCTTTCCTTCGTTTCTTTGTTTCTTTGTTTCTTTCTTTCTTTCTTCCTTCCTTTCTTCCTTTCTTTCCTTCTGAAACAGAGTTTCTGTATATATTCCTGGTTGTCTTGGAACTTACTCTGTAGACCAGATCAGTCTCAAACTCACAGAGATCTGCCTGCCTCTGACTCCTGAGTGCTGGGACTTAAGGTGTGCACCACCATGCCTGACCCAAAATTATTTTATAATTTTATGTGTAAAGTTGTTTTGCTTGCCTATATGTCTTTGCCACTTGAGTGCCCAGTGCCCCCAGAGACCAGAAGAAGGCGTCAGATCTCCTCAAACTGGTTGGGAACCACCATGTGGATGCTAGTAATCTAAGCCAGGTCCTCTGGAAGAGCAGCCAGTGCTCTTAACCACTGAACTATCTCTCCAGCCCCAGAGCCACTACTCTTGATTGATGAGTTTAATCTTTTGAGGCAGCATATTATAATGGTATAATGGTAAGACAATGAGTTTAATAGTTATCCAGATTTGAATTTTGTTTGTGGGTTTAATAATTATTAGTGTTAAGGACTGGAGGTGTGACTCAGTGTACAGAACTTGTTTTGCATGTGTAAAGTCCTTGGTTCAATCCCTAGCACCATTAAAAATAATAATGTAATTATTAGGATAATAGCCTCACTTGCTTTTTTTTTTTATTTGCAAGTGGCACTTATAAGCTAGGAGAGGTGATACATACTTGTAATCGTAGCAAACAGGAGGCTGAGGAAGCAGGAGTTCAAGATTGGCCTAGCCTGGACAACACTGTCATAGAGTGAGACCCACCTCTAAAAGTAAGGGACAATATCAAGAGCTACCATAAGAAACACACATATGCATGCGGGTCCTCAGAGCCTTATCCTCATGGAAAGAACTTAGTAAATGATGCCTGCTGTAAAATGCTGTGTGTGAGTGTGTACTGAACCCAGAGCCTCCTACATGCTTAGCACTGAGCTGTATCTATGTCGTGTGACAAAACTTTTCTTTGGGAGAAGCTATACCCATCCAATCACCCCAGATAGGGAACCCGTGGTAGGTCAAAGTAAGATATCGCCAACATCCAACATCCAGCACGGTGAAGCAGTGGTTCTGTTGGGGTCACTTAGAAGAATACAGGTGAGGAGTTGTTATAGCAGCAGAAATGACTTGAAGACAGCCAAAGCCCACCCCAGCATGGAAAAACCACAAGAGCTGGGAAATCTGAGCACCCACAAGTAGCTCAACAGGTTGGAGAATGTCCTTTCCAAGTGACCCTGATCTAAACAGGCTCTAGGCAGCTGGGGTGGTTTCTGTTTCTTCCAGTCAGCTGTCTGGTCTCAAAGCTGCCTTTGTAGCTTTGTTCTGAGGGGGGGATGTTCAGCTTTTATTGTTTACTTTCTCGGGGCAGGGCTTAAGTGAGTCTCATTAACTTCAGGGACTTCCTGAAGCTATTTTGAGTTGTTTATCTTCCTGCATAAGGAGCTTCCCTGCAGGATGAATGGAATGTTTCAATCTTGAGGAAACTGTTATACAACAACCTATTAGCTTTTTTTTTTTTAAGACAGGGTCTCACTGTGTAGCACAGGCTGGCCTGAGGCTTGCTAGTAAGTCAGTCTAACATAGATCTTTGTGGGTACTTGGACTTGGGGAAACATAGATTTCTGGACTTTTCAGAGTTCTGGAAGTGGGATCCAAGAATTTTTTTAAAGACAGCGTTGATAGCTTAGGTTGACCTTGAAACGTGAAACAGTTTCCTGCCTCAGTTTCCTGAGTGTTGGGAAGGAAAACTTACTTAATAAAGCTTTTCAATCATAAGAGCCAGTATCATTTGAAATATGTACTAGGCCGGGCGGTGGTGGCGCACGCCTTTAATCCCAGCACTCGGGAGGCAGAGGCAGGCGGATTTCTGAGTTCGAGGCCAGCCTGGTCTACAGAGTGAGTTCCAGGACAGCCCGGGCTATACAGAGAAACCCTGTCTCGAAAAACCAAAAAAAAAAAAAAGATGTTGAAATATGTACTAAATCTTGTTCTAATTTATGTTTCAGTTTAAGTTTGTAGGGCTAAAGAATTTCCCGTGTACCCCTGAGAGCCTGTGTAAGGTGCTGTCTATGGATTTTCCTTTTGAGGTAATGAAACCACTGTCTATTGCTCTGTGTGACTGTAGGCTACAAAGAGACTTGGGAACATGCAGTCTTAAGAGAGCCTCTGATTTTTCTGTGTCTTAGCATGAAAACAGGGCTGAAGATTAATTCTAAGGAAGTAATGCAGCTGCTGCCCTCCAGGGCTTCAACTTTGCTTCTACTAAATAAGTCAGAACACCAGAATTGCATAGGCCCCAGCATCCCCTGAAAAACTGAAACCTAGGGAAGAGCAAAGATTTCCTTTCTCCTAGGTCATCTTTGTATGGCCTGTTTGCCATGAGCACAAGCATCAGGCCCCTTGGGTGACACCCGTGGCTGGTGTGACAACGCCAGGCACTTGGGCACATGTGGCTGACTGGACCTCTGGCTCCCTTTCGGTGGAAGCACAGATGGTTCCAGGGATAACAGTGTTTACTAGTCAGCGGCCGAGTTGTTTTATTTTGCCCATACTTTTTATGTGTTAGCACTGAAAATCTCCTGTTCCCAGGAATTCCTGAGTCTGAGACAGTCTTTTATCATCCTCAGAACCTCTCTCTTTACTTAACAAGCAAAGTTTTCTTTGCCTATCATCTCTTTTAAAATTCTGCCTAGTCACAGTCAAGTTTTTGCTTGAAGTGTATTTAATTTTGTAAAGGAAGACAGCTTCCTGGATAAGGAAGTGGCAAAGACTAAGTTGCTTCATTTCTGGGAGTCAATTAAGAAGGTGGTAAGAACACTGTCTTTATTTATAACCCTTACATCCCAGTGGCAAGAAATGCTTTTTAGGGGTGAGTCACTGAATCACAGAGGAGAGAGTATGGAGCCGTAGGAGGCTTTCCCGGTTAGAAAACCTGAGCTTCCCAGAATATGGCTCCGAACAGTCTGGGTGTGGGAGCAGGGTGTGTGTGTGTGTGTGTGTGTGTGTGTGTGTGTGTGTGTGTGTGTGT